GTGCTCAACACAACACAGCTGTGCTTCTTTGAGGTGTTCACCAAATGACCCAAAGAGTGACTTCAGCATAGGAGGGTTAATGCAGTGCCTGTAGGGGAACGCAAATGTATACCATAGATCCTGCGCTGCTATGGGGCTCTCATAGCCTCTGGTGATTAGTTTGTGGATATTTCATTTTCCTCCAATCTCATCTCTGAAATATTGCTTGCGGTGGTCAGTTGCTGTATTTCCCTTAACCGTGCTACACTGGTAATAGTGTTCGTTGCAGTAATGCAGTTTCCAGACCTGACAGTACCAAATGTGACAACGGAAGGAAGGTTTGCAGCAATGGGGTAATTATGAACTGATTTGTCCAGATTTTGATTCCAAGTTTGTTGTCAAATATATACCTATAAGAATGGGTTTTGCCCTTATGAAAAATTCACCAGCTTATGTGGGTGGGATTCTAACTCGCAATTTCCTGCTTACCTAGCACAGACGTCTTAACCACTCAACCACCAAGTTTGCTAGGGTCGGCTGGCTGGCCTGAGTCAATGTATTAGTGGATAAACTACATGTATTTCCAAAGATGTACTCTGCTTCAGGGAGTTGTTAATTTTCAAGGTTTTTCCTGACACGGTAACAAAGTTAACGTTATCCTGACATTAGAATCATACATAACTAGTTGACCTTGCCACACAGAAATCCATTTTTTTAAGCCTGTGTGCATTTATCATCCAATGCCCGTTCCTGTTTAGCTTAATACCCTCAAAAATACACATGTACTTGACTACGACCGTGCGGATAAGTGTGGATAGATAATTTCCTTTACCTCAGGGAACCCTTTTTTAAAATACACAAATCGATTTCATTACCAATCTGTAAATATGATCAGTTCATAATTTGTCATGACCTGCAGAAATGGTTCACACAATTTAGACTTCATAGATATTAATATTTTGGTCTTTTGTAGGCGTGTTCCTTATCTGTGTGCAGTATTCACAATCTAGAAGAATGCCAATGCTCAACGGAAACAGAGAAATGTGAAATCTGCTGCCAGAACC